TGATATTTAAATTTCTATTTTTCTTTTTCTTTTTTCATTTTTTTTGGTGGCTGGCCGGTACAGGGATTGAATCATGGAACAGGGACCATGATGTTTAAACTTAAGGTACAGTCAACAATCAGCGTTTATTTCAGTGTTTACTGTTTTCCTTAAGAAGATTGTCTTTTACTTGGCTCTCAGTTTTGTTTGTTTGTTTGTTTTTTCTTTTCTTTTTTTTTTTTTAACCCATGTACTTTGCCTCTTTCCTTAAGGAAAACAGCATGGGATAACCAAGGTGAGAAATACCCTCTCTGGAAGACCAAGGAGAACCCAAACCCATCCCTTTTCTCCCGCAGAGAATTCACTGCCCCTGGTTCAACTTTAGCTGGACCTGGACTCCTGTGAGGTGCATGAAGTCAGATCCAAGCTAGAAACGACGGCTGAGAATTCACGGAAATGTTAAGAGTTCTGGCTTTGGAGACTAAATAAATAAAAAAGGTCCTTTGGCAGTAAGACATAGACTACATTTAAAATAATTTCTGATGGAAGGAACCCTCTTTACTCCTTGTCATATACATACGTAAAGATCATTTAAAACACTAGGGAAGACCCTTTTCAAATGGAGAGTTTACAGTTTCCAAGGGGAGGAGGTCAGGGGAGGAGTAACTTTCAGGTATGTCTTCCAATCGCGATACCTGGTTTTGGCTGTGAATTGCTCCCCCCTCCACCTTCCCCCTTCGGTTAATTAAATAAACGCTGGAAGCGTGTACGAGATACGGCACGAGACTCGGTCCTTGGGGAGCTCTTTCCTGCGTGGCTCCTACTCTTGACATCCCTCACTCCCAGAGGGTTGAAGAGCTGGCACCATGAGTTTCCACTTACTAAGGGTGAGAAGAGAGGTGTTTGGGCGGAGGGCAGATGCGCTCCCAGCGCCCGGCAGGGAGGAGAGGCGTGCTAGGGGGACGGCTGTAAAGGGCGAGGGGCGGCCACTGGGTGGGATGGGCGCCGGTGGCGGGTGCGGGGTGGCCACTGGGCGCTGCCCGGGCTGCCTCTCTCGCCCAGTGCTGGCGCAGGAAGACGAATTCGCGCAGCCCAGCGCCTGGCCACTGTGGGCCTCCTCCTCGCCTGGCGGCGACCAAGATAACTAAGTTAAAGCCGCTGGGCTTAGCTGGCCTGGAGGTGTATGGTGACCTAGGACACTGAGCCGAGAAGGCCTCCGGGGACACGGGGCTCCGGCCTGCGCTTGGAGCGGTTAGGTAGCGCCCGGATGGGCCCGGGGATATTGGTGGAGAGGTGACAGGGACTCTGCAGGCGTCTACCCTCCTGCCGCTAAGCACGCGTGGCCTCTGGCGGGCCGGGGTCTCCTGGGGCAGAGCATGTCTCTAACAGGTCCCCGAGAACCGCTAGGAAAGTGGCCTTGAATACTAGGCACTTAGTGGCTTTGAGGTAGTTGGACGACTAAAAATTCACCTTTGCTGTGAAATGGGGCAGATGGTTGTCACATTAGAGACTGCTCGGAAAGTCTCCGTTCGGCAAGCGCTGTACGAATGCGAGCCAGGACTAGACCGGGACGGAGATGGACATGGGTCTTCCTCGGAAACGTGGGAACCTACAGGCCCCGTCGGCGCCGCGCCCCACTTGCCCATTTGCAGAAAGGAGTTTGCGAGGAGAGATCCAGGCTGAGAGGCCACTCCAAGACGCGGCCCCGCGAGGCGCGCAAGAAGTCATCGCTGAATGGAGCTGGGTTGGTCTAAGATGAGAGACCAACATGTGTTCAGCGGCTGCTCTGCGCACTGTAAAAAAAATCCGCTGTTTATTACTATTATTTTGAGTAGTTGTGAATTGATTCCTGTGGCGCCCCAGGGCGTGCGCCTTAATGGGTTTAGACAGTTCTGGGTGCTCTTTGACGCCGTGTCTGTCCAGTGGTTGCCCGTGCTACTAAAGGAGGGTGGTGCGCATGAATGGGCACCCTCCTCCCGGACTTGCTGCAGGCCCGGGCTTATCAGTCCGGCTCGGTGCCCGCGGGCCAACCACTTACTGAGGTTCCTACCCGCACTCACGCTGTCACGAGGGGCGGGGCAGACTCCTGGCACGTGGCGCGGCGTCTGCTAAAGCGCTCCGGGGCCTCCACCTGCTGCTCGGGCGCCCCCTCCCTGGGGCGGGAAGAGTCGCTGGTCAGCCCCCGTCCGGCTGTACCCGCCCGGCCTCCTTCTTCGGCCTGAGGCGTGGGTGCGGGCGGCGGAGGACTCCAGCGGCCTGGGGCCGAGAGCTGCGTTTTCAGAGGCACTGGCCCGCGCCTCTTTGGCGGTGGCACAAAGTGCCGGCGTTGCTGTCCTTGCAGAATCCTGATCGCCTCCCGTCTGTGGCTTTTTGGGCCCTCCCGAGGCTTCCGAGCGGGCTGGGGGCGTGGACCCGAGCTTCGCGAGTGCGTGTGAGTGCAGGCTCCCTAGGGGGCGGCAGAGAAGAGCCCCTGACGGCCTCCACCCCGGTATCCCTGCTTCCGCAAGGCGTGGAGCGACGCTCGCCCTCGGGATCCTTAGTTAGGCGACTGCGAGGCCTCCGGGGGTCTAGAGGAGGCACCCTTCTCTGGGGGATGGCTGCCTCGGGGCGCGGTCATGCAGTCAGTCCTAGCCTTCACTTGGGCCAGCAGCAGGGGCGTTGGAGGGAGATCTGTCGCGGGTGCCGGAGCCATCGGTTTCCTGCTCTCTGCAAGGAAGAAAAGTTGAGCTTAGAGAAGGGCTGAAGCTTCCGGTACCCTGACAAGGGCGCGCGCGTGCCTGTGTTGGGGACATGAAGCGGAGGGCTGTGCGTGTTTGGGCAGGGCCTCGCGTGCAGGATCTGTTCTATTCTTCCCCATCGAGAGAGCGGAGCCCGTTGGAGAGGGGCAGCGCCGGGGACCAGGGCGCTGCCTCGGGAATGAATGGCCTTTGCCAAGCGGTTCTGTAGCCTCTGGGCCTTCGGGGCTTCCCCAGCGGCGGCGGGCGAACCCTCCGTGCCCATAGGTTCCCTTCGCCTCCGCCATAGACAACTCCGGGCGGATGGAATCTCGGTCCCTCCGGGCGGCCTCGGCGAGCGCTGCTGCGGGCAGGTAGGACAGCCATTGCCTGGGGTGGAAGGTGAGCATCTTCCTGCCCACTCCAGGCCTCTGCCTGCGGGGGGTAACGTTGCCGGCACAGACGAGACAACTTGTTGAAGCTGCACCCCAGACCGGGTCTTGGAGGAAAACCCGGGGCAAGAAGGCCCAGAGTGGAGGAGAGCTGAGCGTCACCCGTCAGGGCGCCCAGGGTGCCCAAAGGAGGCGCCACAGCTTCCTTCTCGCGAGAGCCCAGCACCCCGATCTTCCTCGTGCTGGGCGCTAGCCTGCCTGCGGCGCCCTGGTCCGATGTCTGCATTGCGCAGGTGCCCTCCAGCCCCCACCCACGAATACCAGGAGCGCTGCTTCTGCGGTCATTTATTTATTTTGGCCCCAAAACCTCAGTGTTTTGGAAGTGAAGTGTGAGGGTCTTGTGTCTTTTGAAGGCACTGTCCTTCGCGCTTAGTACAAAGCCCCGAAAGACATGCTGGGTCCGAAAAGTCCCAGTGGTTTCAACTTCCAGGTTTTGTTCTCTTGGTCGGAAAATCACCTCGGATCCGGCTCCTCACTAAGGGCGGGGGTGGGGGAATGGGGCGCTTCGCTTGTTCTCATTTTATTTTAGGCCCCTGTGGGTCTAAAGAAATGCTAGAGTTCAAACAAACCCCAGGAGGCGCAGGAAGGCGTGGATGCCTTCATTCTGTGGGTGGGGGAGTCAAGTCCACTCCAGATCGGGGGCACTGTACTGATAGGTATTGATTATCGGAAAATTGGATTCGGAATCAAATCGAAATAGTTCCTTCCTCCAGTCCCCTCAGAATGTTTAAATCCAGCCCCGGGAGCCAGCTAAGACATCCCAACAAAATTCGCCCTCGAGAAGAGAATTAACGACTTTCCCCTTGCAATGAAAGAATCAATTATAATAATTAAGCCAATGAATTTCGTTTCTTTGAGTTTTAAAAATTAACACTGCACGTGGTTTTCAAGTTTGGGTGGCAAGTACATATGGAGGCGGCGGGAGGCAGCGTTGATGTGGAAGTTTCGTTTTCTGCCTCCACCTGTGGAACGGGGGTGCCCACCTCTCCAATAGGGGCCTTTGTGCTCCCACTTCCCTGTACCTTGTCACCCCCACCCTGCCCGTGGCGCTCGGGTATTATTTCGTCCCCCACCCCCAACCTCTTTTCCAGGGTTAGTTGAGGCTTCTGAGTGACTGGCCCGCTGGAGGCAGCTGCCCAGCGCCGGCTCGGCAGGGCAGGGCAGCAGGGCTGGGCCAGGGCGCGCGGGTGTCCCCCGGCCGCAGCCAGCAGCCAGAGATGCACCTTCGGGCGACAGGGGAAAGACGCCGTTGTCCCCGACTTCGGGTCCGGAGGAACGGTCTGCTGCCTCTGCGGAGCGTGGGCAGCCTCCCCAGAAGGCCGTTCTTCCTCGCCCGGGGGATCCGGAGGGCGCTGTGCCCGGAGAAGGAGGAAGGGGGCGTCTCTCAGTCGGACTGGGCTCCAGCTGCATAATCCCACCCCAAACCTTAAGTCTCCGTGGGGCGGGATGTCTTAAAAGACCCCAGCTTTTGAGACACCCTGAATGCGGGGTCTCTAACTCCAGGGGAAGACCCTTTAGGTGGAAGAGGGGCGCTCTTTGGTATTTGCATCCCGGTCCCCGGCTCTGCCAAGTTTCAGGTGTGTGTATGGTGGGGGTGACAAGAAAGGCGCGTCGGGTGACTCGGGCCTCGCAGGTCTGGTTGTCAGCGAGGTACGGCCCACTGACTCCCCAAGTCGCCCCCCGCAGCGTGGGGCTCCGTAAAGCGCCAGGCCCGGGTGCGGGGCGGAGCTAGGCTGGGACTGGCTGGGGGCCGCCCCGCCCAGAGCCGGGGCCTTCGCGCCGGCCCCCAGGGAGGAGTTATGATAATTTCCTTCTCATTAAGGCGCTCGGGTCCCCCCGGCTATCGCTGGGACACACAGCGCGGGCGCGGCTTCCCCAGTCCACGGCAGCGGCCTCTGCACCCGCGGCGGCGGCAGCAGCATCTACGCCCGCGGAGCCGCCGATGCGTGTCCAGTGACCCGAACATCAAGGCCCGCGCGCAGCGGGGGCGGCGGCAGGCGCCCGGCCACCGTGACCCCGATTTTGGATTTACCGCTCGGGGGGTGGGGGGAGTCTGGATTTAACTGGCGACTGTTTTGGGGGACGCCGGAAGCCATGTTGTGGAAAATAACCGATAATGTCAAGTATGAAGAGGACTGCGAGGTGAGCTGGGGCGCAGGGGCGCAGGGGCGCAGCCCCGCCTCGCCCGAGTGTAGTGCGGCAGGCAGGGGCCACCGGACCGCGGTCGGGGACGAGAGCACAAGAGCCCTGGCCTCTCGGTGGGGCGGGTCCACCCCTCCGGACACCCCTTAGTCCATTTCTCCAGGACCCCCTTCCAGTAGAGGGCCTTTTCCTAAATATCCAGGCCTTCCTCCCGAGAATGGCAGATCCCACCCCACAAAGCTTACCAGTCGATTCATAGGAATCAAACGGCTCTTCTTGTCGTTTTCTCGGAAGGGCGCCCTGTCTGCAGCCCTTAGAAGTGGCTGAAGCCACTTGGTAAAGCACGACGTTTCCGTCCAGAGGGGTCAAATGTGGCTACCTGCCGGCGACACCTTTGCGGAGTCTCCTCCAAGGCGGGCTTGTCACCTGCCCCGCTACTTCCTCGGGGAAACCAGAAAACAACTGAAGTTTGGCTTTCAAGGGAAGTGGGGGCTGGGGAGTGTTGGGAGGGGGGTGTTGAGGCCAGATGGGGCCGTACGAGCTCGCGAGTGCTCCAGCCAGTCGGACAGGTTGAGCTAGAGTTTCGGAGAGTGGGAGGGAGGGAGGCGGCGAGCGGGAAGAGGAAGGAGACGCGGGCGGCGGGAGGCGAGCGCCGGCGCGCTGGAGAAGGGGAGCCGGGGCGGTGGGGACGCGGGAGCGCACGGCGCCTCGGGGACCTCGGGGGGCTGCCCCTGCCTGCGAGCCTGGACACTTCCGCTAGGGGGCGACAGGACCATGTTTCTCCTCGTTCCCCGCTACCCCGTTTACCCCCCGGACAGATGGAGACACATCCTTTAGGTATTAAGTTGGACAGCCGTGGGGCTATGGGACGTGCGCAGGCAAAGTTGCCCACATTTCGGGGTCCGTCCTTCTCGCACCGATGTGTGGGGACGGTGACCGTGGTCGGCAGGGTGGTCTCACTTCTCACTTGGCCCGGCATGGCTAGCGGGGACGGCAGCCCTGGTCACGGCGCGTTCCCGCCAGAGAGCCGCGGGCCGCGCCGGGTGGCAGGCACCGTCAGGGTGTGTCATCCGCCCGGAGGTCTTTGTCCTGAGGGCGTGGAAGGGAGGGTCCCTGGGGCGGGAGAGATGCGCCCTCCCTGCGCTGCGCGCTTAAACTGCCGCTCCCGCACCTTGAGCTGCGCGGCTCCAAAATGTGCGGGCTCCCGAGCGAGCGCGTTCCGCATTGTGGGCGCCACGTGCCGACTTACTCCCTTGGCCCCGGCCCCGGCCTTTCCTGGCCCGAGACGTGGGGTTCGGACTTGGCACCGCTGCGCGCCTGGGGCGTCGGATCTCCCAGACCTTCGCCGCCGGCCTTCGAGGACTCGTTCCCCCAGGTCTTTCACCCGCCTGCCCTTCGTCCGCGGACTCACGGTTTACATCGAAATCCCCGGGTGACTTTGACTCCGCGGGCCCCCTGGTGCGCACCGCAGGCCAGTTCGCCGTAGCCGGGTTTCGAACTAACGGGGTCTTCTCTGTTTTTCGCCCCCAGGATCGCCACGACGCGAGCAGCAACGGGACCCCGCGTATCCCGCACCTCTCTTCGGCCGGGCAGCACCTCTACAGCCCCGCGCCGCCCCTCTCCCACACTGGGGTCGCCGAGTACCAGCCTCCCCCGTACTTCCCGCCTCCGTACCAGCAGCTGGCGTACTCGCAGTCGGCCGACCCCTACTCGCATCTGGGCGAAGCCTACGCCGCCGCTATCAACCCCCTGCACCAGCCGGCGCCTACCGGCAGCCAGCAGCAGGCCTGGCCCGGCCGCCAGAGCCAGGACGGTGCGGGCCTGGCCTCGCACCACGGGAGGCCGGCCGGCCTGCTGCCCCACCTCTCCGGGCTGGAGGCCGGTGCGGTGAGCGCCCGCAGGGATGCCTACCGTCGCTCCGACCTGCTCTTGCCCCACGCGCACGCCCTGGAGGCCGCCGGCCTGGCCGAGAACCTGGGGCTCCACGACATGGCGCACCAGATGGAGGAGGTGCAGGTGAGCTCCTGCCCGGACCTGTTTGCCCTGCAGCCGCCCTCTCCCCCTTCCTCCAAACTTATTTTTATCCTTTCTCCCCTAGAATGTCGAGGACCAGCACCTGCTGCTGCACGATCAGACTGTTATTCGCAAAGGTAGAGCTTTTTTACTTCCTTCTGACCACACACAACCCGGACTTGTGAAGTTAATCAACTTACTTGAAATGTGGGGGTATTTGGTGGCATTTGTGTATGTGGGACATTTGTGGTAGAGGAGACTGATGAGGACTCAAGGAAGCGAGATTTTAGGAGTAAGAAGAGGGGATTTCTTTCAGACCTAAATGAGAAAGGATGCTCTGGTAGAAAATGCTTGGGAGCTGTCTCTGGATCTCAGATTTTTTTACTCCATAGTTTCTTCTTGGGAAATGACACTCCTTGAATTCCAGAGAGTGTTTTACAATGTTAGAGAAAGTTTTGCAGACTGAGTTAACCCTGTGATTTAATTTTTTTAAAAAACCCACACGCACACACCTTAGTTGAGTGATTGGGTTTTGTGAACATTTTAATTGTTGGATGAGTTGTGATTTTAGTTCTGATTTCCAACACGCATAAGGTATGAGAAGGGTCCTTAACTGTAACCTGCAGGAAAGGTTTTGAAACAGTTTGGCCTACCCAGTTAAAACAGCCCTAACCAGGAGCAGAGTTGTCAGAGGCTGGGTTTTGTAGAGTAAGGGGAGTAGGGGATTTAGGAAATTGGATTACTTGGTAATTGAGTGGCTCATGAAATTAAGTTCCATACAGACGGGATTACCAGTTGGCTGTTTTGGGGAATGGATTAGACCTAAATTAAAGGTAGTTTATAGTCAGTTATTTGACATTGAACTGCTTGAATAGATGGGGGGGGGGGGGTTGAAGAAAAACTTGGAAAATAAACTAAATTTTCCAGTAAACTTATAACAGAATGGGTTAGTTTGTTTTTAAATTTACTGTGATCACTTGCACTGAAGGGTTTTGGCAAAGGATCTGAATGTGTCCTGTGATTTTGGTTGTTCATTGAGGGGGAAAAAAATTCTCCATTTATTTAGTATTGAAGTGGTCTTCTGAAAGTAAATGTCGCAATTAAACAGATTTCAACAGTGGCTAGGAAATAAAAAACCCTCCAAGCTCGGTATCTTGACTAATTAACTTCCCAAGGTGCTAACTTGTGAATTTCAGATTCAATTTATCTTTGAAGAACATGGCGTCTACTTGTAATTTATAGTTCAGCATGCAACATTATTCGTCTAAAGAGCTTTCAGCTTTGCTTAGTGGTTTGGAAAAGGTCTCTTTTGCTCAGATGAGAGCAGCTCTTGTGACAGCCAGTTCTGATCTTCATTCACAGGTCCTATTTCAATGACCAAAAACGCCCTTAGCCTCCCCTGTCAGAAGGAGCTGGTGGGAGCTGTATTGAATCCCACCGAAGTCTTTTGCTCGGTCCCTGGAAGATTGTCTCTCCTCAGCTCCACGTCTAAATATAAAGTGACCGTGGCTGAAGTACAGAGGCGATTGTCGCCGCCTGAATGCTTAAATGCCTCATTACTAGGAGGTGTCCTCAGAAGGTAATTGGGGAACACAATCTGGGCTTGGTGGCTGGGTAGTGAAAAGTGAATGTATAAAAGGACTGGGGAGGTATTTTTAACATTTACGTAACTTTTATACTTAACGCTGAATTCTAATTGGCTCAGAGAGTTTTTAGTACATTTCTTCTCTTTCAGAAAGTGCCAAATGTAGAAGGAAGTGCTAAAACAGTGCTAACAAATTATCATTTACTTAGAATTTGATTTCATGTATGAAGTGGTAGCATCTGTATTGTGGGAAGAGGAGCCCCGTTGTTTTTGTTCCCCCAGGGAGTTTCTGGAGGGCTACAGCAGTTTTACAAATGAAAATTTATTTTATCTGCTCTGACACAACTTGCAGTGTTTTATGATTAAAAAAAAAAAAAGTAGGTGATGCTAGGTATGGTTTTTGATTTTGAATTTTACAGGTACTAATTTAACAAAAACTCCCCTTGTCCCCATCCCTTTTGATTATGAATCACATAATGTAGATAGTTTTTGATGGATTTCAGCTTTGACAGCAGCACTGGAGGAATTTAGAATTTGAAAGTGTGGTTTCTTGAAAGTAGCCAGAGTCAACTTTCTTTTACTCAGAGCCAAATCTAAAAATGGAGGCCGGTCGTTGCGGGAGAAGTTGGATAAGATTGGATTGAATCTTCCGGCTGGGAGGCGGAAAGCAGCCCATGTGACTCTCCTGACATCCTTAGTAGAAGGTCTGTGAGGTTTTGTTTTTGTTTTGTGGTGTTCTTCATTTGTGCAGTATCTTTAAATTCATCTCTAAAGAAAAGCCGGAAAACAACTCCTAAACTTTGGGTCACAACTAGAGAGAGATGAAAGCAATTTGGATTGTCGTAAGTTCATTGCAATGAGTCACAATCATTTTATCAAATAAGTTAACATTTACATAATCTTGGCTGCACAAGTATTATGTTCTGGGTTCCTCAGAAAATTAATGTTACAAAGAAATTGGTTTTCCTAATCTGAGAAATTATGCTCTAGAGGTCTCGGAGACATTTCTTGTCAAATTAATTTAACAATTCTTTTTATCTTGGGTTTTTTTTCTTCGGTGGCTGGGCAGTAATGAACCAATTGTTGAAACAGGCAGCTGATCAGTTGGTACACGTTTAAAAGGCTGATTACTTCTTGGCGGGCAGAAATACCATTCCTGATTTTTGTAGCTATGAATTATTGGTTTTGGGGTCAGTGAAGAGAACCCCTTGTATATGATGGGACTGGCCCAATTCACAATTCCTTTCTTCCTTTCTTCCCATCAAAAGGAAAAAGTGATGGAATCCCTGGCCTATGGATGAGCCCCCTCTCCCCATCCTCAAGACAGTAGGATGGGGCATTTCAGTTTTTTGAATTGGGGACCCTTCCCCCTATTTGGAAAGCAGCCAAGAATGCAATACAACCTTTAAAAGGGGGTGTGAGGGAAAAGTAGAATAATTTTTTAAAAACAAAACAAGCACATTGTACTGCACACAGGAAAGTGGAGTTGAACACTGAGAGGCTTTTAGCTAAAGCCTCCACCAACCTCTCAGCACCCTGAGCAATCAGCAGGGTGCTGGGCTCTTGCTGTGGGCCAGGGAAGCCAGTGAGAAGTAGTCTCCCTGTAGCAATACAGTCTTTTGAAGACTTTATTTCCCCAGACTGTGGTGCTAAAAGAGACTTGGCAGCATCTCTGCTTTACCTTTTCACGAGTGCCTTTGGAGGTCAGGGCAAGGAGAAAGGAGCTGCCTGGCTGAGAACAGCTGTCCTGCATGGAGAATGGCAGCTTCTGCATGCATGGAGCATAAATTTGGCTCTGCTAGGTTTTCTTACTAACCAGGCAGGGCTTGAATAAGAAAGTGTGCTGGAACAATGGCTCTCAGATTCTGATTCAGTAAGTCCAGGGGCCTCTGCGCCATCTGGGTTTGTGAAAAGCTTTCCTGTCTTACACCCTGGAGCCAGGAAAAGGCACCTCTTGGGTGGAAGATGATTCTGTTGGTTTCTCCCTCTATAACCTGGACAAGGGGATGGGTATTCCAAGCTGTTAATTTAAGGTCTTAATAATTTTTTCCAATAGGAAACACACTCCTTCCTTTTTTAAGAAGACATTCTAGAGACCTGTCCCCTTCAGGAATAGGGCACCCTAATTAAAAAGGAAGTAAGGTGTCAAGTACTTTGTCACCAGTTTACTTTTGTCAAACATGCTCATACCTTCCTTAAATTTTCTAATTTTTTTTGTTTGTTTGTTTTTATTTTTTTATTTTTATTTTGTCAATATACAATGTAGTTGATTATTATGTCCCATCACCGAAACCTCCCTCCCTCCTCCCTCTCCCTCTCCCCCCTCCCATAAATTTTCTAATTTTAAGGTGTCTATCTGTTCTTTGGGCTGAGGGACTGGTTAACATGTTTCAAGTACAATTAAAAATTTCAGCGTCATTTTTTCTTGCATTGTGTTAACTTTACCTTCAAAATTGTTGGGATAAAGTACCTACTGAAAGCACCTACCTGCAGAGTTGTTTGCCTGGTGTATGATTTCGTTTATTTATTATTTTCTTTCTTTTTTTTGGCTGTCCAGTATAGGGATTGAACTCCAGACCTTGGTGTTATAGGCACCGTACTCTAAAGTATATGATTTTGTTTAGAATGCAAAGTGACTGGTAGACAGTGCTAGAAATGAAGAAAAAGGACAGTTTGCCAGCAGTGACCACAGCCACCCTAAAACCTGTTGTCCTTGCTGATTATTCTAGGTGAAGCCGTTCATCTGGCTCGGGACTTTGCGTATGTCTGTGAAACTGAATTTCCTAGCAAACCGGTGGCGGAATACTTAACCAGACCTCATCTCGGAGGACGGAATGACATGGCCAGTAGGAAGAACATGCTGCTGGCAGCACAGTAAGTAACCTGACTTGAACTTGATCATTTACGCTCCAGACCTTGAGGTAGAGTGTCCAGCACAGTTCCTATGGCTCAAGAAAGAAATTTGTGAAATAAATTAGAGTCTAGCAAAAGAATATGGCAAGGGAGCTTTTTTCACAAAGTCAAATACCAAAAATCTTGGGTGGGATTTAAAGAACAAGATGAGTGTATTACTCTGTAATGAGTGTTTTTCGAGCTGCCTAATTATTCAGCTCAAAATAGTCAAACTACTCTTCCATTACTGTGTTTGCATATCTTACCAAAATGTGTAGAACAGGATTTGTTTTGTCACCAGTAAAGAGAGAGCATGTGCCTTCTACCTCCTCCTGATAACAAGCCTTGTTTTCTAAATGTAAAGATCAGGGTGGATTTGTAGGAGACTTGGGGGCAAATGAAATGTCTCAAAAACTACTTAATGCAGCTGCAGAATTTCTCATAGAAACCAACAGTAAGTTTATTTAAAAATCATGGTAAATGGAGCAGAATTAGTCAAATCAGGAAGTGGAACAAAGAGAGAGCACAGTGAACCAGCTTGTGTAAAGAGAATTTCAGGGACATGCATGATTCTCCGGGTTCCTCATAGAATTTATTTCAACCAACTTGTACCAAGGTGTAACACTCAACCTCTTTGGTTGGGATCTTGACCCCACCACTTTTGCCAGTCTTGGTGACCTTGGCCAGTTGACTGGGGTTAATCCTGTTATTTTTCCTAATTGTAATGAGGATTAAATAAGACAGTGCTTGAAAAGAGCTTAGTTCAGGGCCCAACACATGATAGGTGCTAAGTGCTGCAGTTGGCTATTAGCATTAGTTTAAATTCTCCTTGGCTTTAACGATTCTGATTGCCTCCCAGATGTCATCCTCAGGGTCATTTGTTCTGTACTCTTCACCTGTAAAGAGCTGGATAGTGCTCACCGGACTTCATTAACTGTCTCCGCAGGCAAGTGTGTAAAGAATTCACAGAGCTTCTCAATCAAGACCGGACACCACATGGGAATGGCAGGCCCACCCCGGTCTTGGAGCCGAACATACAGAACTGCTTGTCTCATTTCAGCCTGATTACCCACGGGTTTGGCAGCCTGGCCATCTGCGCAGCAGTATCTGCAGTGCAGAACTACATCAAAGAAGCCCTGATAGTCATAGACAAATCCTATATGAACCCCGGAGACCAGAGTCCAGCTGATTCTAACAAAACCCTGGAGAAAATGGAGAAACACAGGAAATAAAACAGGGATGAACAAAGGGTCAGAGTTGGGAAGGAAAAGGACTGCAAAATCCTCTGGACCCGTACAGACCCGGGAACCCCTCTTGCCTGGGGGAAGAGTTTATCTACCTTACTGTTAAAAAGGCCTCCATCGATTTCTGGATGGGCAGTGATCTTGACATACCCTCTTGGATTCCTTAGTTGTTTCTCTAGCACTGAAGTATCTCCTAACTTTGGACATATTATCAGAAGGTGACAAGTACTGGTTCTTTATTCATTAAGCTTTTATTTTATTTTATTTTTTGTTTGCTTGTTTTTTATTGGATGATCACAGCACATTTTATTTTTTTTGAACCCCATTCTTTCTTTCCCTGAAAGTGGTGCTACAAGTTTTAGAACCTTTTAAATAAATTCCCTTGGCTAACAAAATCCACCCCCCACACTTAGCTGTTGAAATGTCAAATTGATGTGATTCAGATTGATAGGTCAACAATCTCTTTTATTTTCCAGTGTTAAAGTAATGCCTGGTTTTTGTGTCCACTAAATATTTGTCTTTAAGAAAAGTATTTTGTAGCTTCTTTTGAGATCACATCCTTCAGTGGGAGGCAAAGGATCTATCAGTTTAGGAACTAGTTAATAGTTGGTATCTTACACACTTTAAACCTCGTGTTCAAAGGGGGCCTTCTGGTTTTTGGAAACTTATAGAAACAAAGCCTGCTGACGATTTTTTTCTTTTATCTTTTTTTTAATTTTGAAAGTTAACTCTTTAAGTAGGAGACTCTTTGAGATGACATTTTCTTTAAGGTACTGAAGCTTTATTTGCGTATTTATTTCAGATTGTGATTTTTTGAGTAAACTTGAAAAGGGTAGGCACGAAGCATATTCTTGCTGTCTGTCCTTCCCAAGTCCCTGCGGAGGCTCTGTATTTTGAGAAACAGTGTGTTGAGTGTATAGATTTTATTTATGCATAATTTAATGGGGTCTGTAAATACTGGTGCACTTCTTACAACTTTTTGAGAAATGGGATTCGATTTTAATATTTACTTTTAATGGTGATGGGGTAATCTATAACACATCTTTAGGTTTTATTCATATGTACACAGGGTATTAAAAATTAAGAGTATACTGGGCTGTGTTCTTGTCTTGGAAGATTCTATTTAATTGAAGCTCTCTGTTCAGAAAGCAATAACTTCATGTTTCATTCCTGTTGGGCTGAACCCTACAATGAGTGTACGGTACAGTGTGTGGGTGAAATGGAGATTTGAAATTGAGCTCCATGCCTGTAAATGTTCTCAAAATAATTATTGTGTGTATGATACCTGTATAATAAAAGTATTCTCGATAGAAAATACTTTTTCTGGTTATAACTTGAAAGTTTGGTTATAACTTGATTTTTTAAGTCTCCAAGATGAATGAAATAGTGCAGAAGTTAAATTTGTGGCTTGACTGTGTCTTAGTTAATAGATTGAACAGGAAAGTTGTGCTTGAAGTTTCATTTTCTCTCCCTAGTGAAACTGCTTGACTGCCCCAGGTACATAATCATCAGTGTCTCTCCTGCATAGTACCGTTCTTGACCCCAGGGGTGTTGGGAAGTGTACAGGGGACCATGTGACATTGAGTGAGAGGGGCCAACATTTTGGGAACAATGTCTCATGTAAAGCTACTCTGTTGAGAATAGGTACATTACTGTGCATTGGTGAAGAATGGAAATGAAATCATTGTAGATATTCCTTGGGCAGATATTCCTTAGGATGACGTGGTGTTCAATCAAATGCAAGTAACAGAGGTGTAGAATGTTAGTGTCTTCAATCTACATTCTCCATCTTTGGAAACCTAATGCTTTTCTATCAAAGGCACCCTAGTCATTTTGTCTGCCTGCGGGGTAAACCAGAGATTGGGTCTTTTTACACCACCTGGGGAGCAGAGGAGTCTGGCAGGGGTTGTGTACTTGCTGGATGTTTGCAAGGATCTTGGATGCACACCACCAGTACTTGATTTCAAGTTGAAGTGGCCTGGCATATCCTCCAGGAAGTGATATGTTTATAGTTTGGCATGTGTGGACTGGCTTCAAAGGGAAGTGGGAACTATAGGATTTTCCACATTGGATAGGGCCATTGCGTCAACCTCAGTCTCATAATCCTTAATTCATAATTCTCCAAATGCCCAGCAATTCCTGACTTAATGTTGGCATTGGATGTTATTAAGTAGTTTAAACTCTGCCAACCTAATACTTTGCTCTTGGCAGCTTATCCTTGGCCACCAAACACACCCATTAAGTTGGATTTATCTGGTCAATATGTCAAGATTACAATTGCTTTGCTTTAGAGCAATGAAAAGAGGTCTTAAACGTTGGCAGTTATTTCTCAATCAAGACCACATCGGGCGTTAAGAGGAAGTTGTGGGGGCAAAGGGATGAAGGAAAAAGGACTATTTTCTTATCAGCATCTTAACTTGCTTTTGGACTAGAATCTGGCTTTTAGGAGCAGTGCTGAATTGCAGTACAGACAATGTTCTGGAAATGCCCCAAAGTCAACCTAGGATTAAAGTGAGTCATAAGCAGCGCTCCTTATGCCTGTCTCCTTGCTTGGTTCTTTATCCTCGTTCCCACTGGAAGTCCATGGAAAACAACCAGGCACCCTGAAAAGGACCCTACCTCGCTGCTTTTCCATCAAGCTCTTGCCTTTTTTTTTGTTGGCTGGCTAGTATGGGGATCTGAACCCTTGACCTTGGTGTTATAACTGTACTGTAACCAACCGAGCAAACCAGCCAGCCTGAGCTCTTGCTTATTTGTGAAAGAAGGATGTCCTGCCCCTTGGCATTAGGTTGGTAGACCCTTGCTTCTCCCCATAGGCCAGGGTGAGTTTTGTTTTGAGCACCATGTTAGCAAGGATCACTCTCTCCCTTATCCCCTCACCCTGCACCATCCTCCAGCACTGGTTGTTCCACAAATTAGGCTTGTGTTTTGTTAAAGCACTTGCCCTTGCTGATGGCTTTGCCCTCTGGGAGAAGATGAGGGGCTACCTTTTTTTACTGGTTGCACTGAAGGAAACCCCATCTGTTGTCTGAAGGCATGCTCTGTCTAGAATTCCATTTATGTAAAAGACTCCTCAGCAGAATTGTACATCTGTGAACTGGAGACTTAGCCATCCAGGAACCTGGACCTCAGAGGTGCCCTCCTGCCCTGCAGGCGGCACACCTCCAGGTTCTCTGGAAGGTCAGAGAGGGTGTTTTCAATAGCTGTTCATGGTTGTCTTATCTTCCATGTGTGCCCAATTGATGTCACAGGCTAGAAAAGGGACTGTGAGTCTGTTTCTCATTTGAGATGATTCCACAACAATGGCTGTCATCCTTTTCCTTCTGGGGCCTAGTGTCAGGGTATGCTCTGAGACCTCAGGTTCCTTTACTTCAGTGTTAAAAAACAAAACCAGGTAGGGTCATGGACAGGTGAGAAACAAAGAGGAACTTTTGGGGCTTTGCAGTGGTTAGGTTTCTGGAACCCATTGCCTAGTTCCCTGGGGAAAGTTGGCTACCAGCTGTGTGCATTCCTAAAGAGGCTGCCCTTAACCTCCAAGGACTTCTGAGTATTTCACTGGTCTTTCCCTTTTGCAGGTTGGTAGAATGGTATCATGAGGTGGCAGTGTCATTTGCCTTTCTTCACAAGTAGGTGGAGGACTCTGAAGTAGCTGACATTGGCCACAAAAACAAAGTATGGCCTGTGAGGTTCCTTTAAGTGTGTTTGATGGATGATGGAGCTCTTTGTTAGCCCTACGTGGTAGTGACCCTTAGCAAAGTCTCCTTCAGGAGCTCAGAGGGTGGTAAGGGTTTTCCCCTTAGTTGGAGATAAAGGGAGGTTTGCTTTTGGCATTTTGATGCTGCAATGCATGGAAGTGCTCTTCCCAGGAGTGAGTGTTGCTCCTGGTTGATAATGATGATTGATGACTTAACCTTCCTCAGATCTCAGCATGCCTTAGGTTTCTCTTCTAGTTGATAGTCCTTATTTATTTCTCTGAAATCTGCAGATCACCACCCTGGGAGGCTTGGTGGCACTGGAGCCATCAAAACTTGACCGCTTCCTGGTTTTTCTAACAACCCAGGCTGGCATCATGCCCAAGGTTTATACTGATGTAAAGCGCATCACACCTTGAGAGTCTTTGTCCGCTAGTAACATGAAACGTGATCTGCAGAAACAAACTCGACCTTATGATTTTAAAAAATTACTGTTACATTAAAGCTCATAGTTTCATGGAACACTCAATTATTTTTGGCACAGTCATAAACACTGTAATTTCCTGGCTTCTTTTTGGATAACATCTTGATGGGAGAGATGGGTAGAAGAAAAGCGTGGAAACCGAGTAGAGTTGAAAGGCATAATTCTGGGGACCTGTCCAAGGAATAGCTTTGTTAAGAATGTTTATAAGGTCAAATCTCTGTGTGTGTGTGTGTTTTGGTTTGTTTGGTTTTTTTAAAATTTCAAATGATGGTGTTACTTAGGACATCTCATTTTCTAAGAAGAGATCTTAGCCTTAAGGAGTGGCCCTCACAGGTGAGAATGTGAGAGTTGGGTGGGTTGAAGAGGATATCTTGGCATTTGGCACTTGCTAAGGCTTGAAGGCCTTTGAGACTTCATGGGTGTTACAGGTTGGACTGTGCTTCCAACGAGGTATGTTAAATTCCTAACCTCCAGGACCTCAGAATGTGACCTTTTTTGGAAGTAGGGTTGTTGCAGGTAGTTAAGACAAGGTCATACTGGAATAAGGTGGGCCATAATCCGATATGACTTGTGTTCTTATAAGAAGAAGAGAAGAGACAGACATGAGGGGAGCAGTGAAGGTGGCCGGCCACCACCAGAAGCTAGAAGAGGCAAGGAAGACTCCCCTACAGATTTCAGAGGGTCCGTGGTGCAGCTGACACTTAGATTTTGGATTTCTAGCCTTTAGACCATAAGACAATACTTCCTGTTGTTTCAAGCCACCCAGTGGGTGGTATTTTCTTAGGACACTTGTACAATGGTGAGTGCTTGTTCCTTGTTATTTTCTTCCTGCTGGCCTTTTTTAAACATGGAATTCTTTCTGCACAAAGAAGAAAGCTGCCTCCGTGGCCTAGCCATCCAAGTCCATCCAACTATGTGGTGGCTCTTCACTGATAATGTCATTTCCCCACTGGTTAACAACTATGTTGGTGCATGATACCATTTCCTGCTGGCAACTGCATCAGCGCATGACCTAATCTTTCCAGAGGAAATCAGCTTCTTTGAGAGAACTCACCCTAGCGTCTCTGTCCAAAGCAAATCCGAAACTCTCCGAGGTCCACTTACCCCTCCCTTCTGCTTGTTTCTTTTAACTGGGTACCTCTGGGTATCCTAACATTGACCCCTCCGAGCAGCAGCTGCTAAACTTAGCAGGTCATTGGAGAC